ACCACAAAAAACAAAAAAAAAAAAAAAAAAAAAAAGAAAGAAAAATAACTAAAACAGGTGTCAATAATTCCTTCAAGGGCATAACCTCAATTACTTAATTTTATCTAGACTCCAGATTCCACTACCTCCAAACAGTGTCACATGCTCAGGAACAAACTTCCTTTTGGGAGCCATCCAAAGTCCAAGCTGTACCTGTAAAGTGCCTCTTCCCTCTCGCCTTATCCTCATCTGCAGAGCTCCACTTAGACCTGCTGCCAATCAGGGAAGGTACTAACAAGCTTGAGAATGCCTCTAAGTACCACCTGAGCAAACTCTCTTGGTTCTACCAGCACTCCCAGGCCTAGGGCACTTTCCTTCAAACAACCACTTATAATTCCTCAGGCAATGACGCTGAGTGAAGACAAGCTCCTGTGCCAGCCTCTTAACTCACTAAGAGCTTTCACCCTGGAAAAGGAGCGCTCTTACCTCCCTCCTCTCCCTTCCCTTCTGCTAGGACTATAACTACTTTTCTTATCAACTGGATTCCTCTCCTGTTTCTTTCATTTTCTAAATTATTGTTATGGGTTGTCTGGGGGTTGGTTTTTGTTTGGTTTGGTTTTTGTTTCTTGTTTTTTTTTTTTTTTAAACAGGGTCTCGATATATATCCCTGGCTGCCTTAGAACTCACTATGAAGACCAGGCTGACCTCAAACTCATAAAGATTCACCTGTCTCTGCCTCCTGACTGCTAAGATTGACTATAGGCTTTTTATATTTTGGTTTTGTTTGTTTGTTTCAATGAATGTCCTCTTCCTTCCAAGAATACAAAAGGAAATGAGGTTAAGATTTCTTATTAGAGAATGGAAAAGGACCAGAGAATCAGATGGGAAATAAAAGATAGACACACACACACAAGCATGTACAATACACACACATGCGCCTGTACATAAATTAACGTGTATACAAATTAACATAGACAAATGAATGTTAGATTCTCTAATGTGAGTTCATATTAATATATTCACAAAATAATAAAATTTTATCATCATTATCAAAATCAAAGTCCTTATGATGCGGCCAAAAGACACAAAGGCTACATACAGTTCTGCAGTAAATCATTTGCCTAGCATGTGTGAGGCTCTGGGTTCAATCCCAGAACCAGAAAAGGGTGAAGGTGGGGGCATAACCACAGGTTTGGAAAACATTTTAAACTCTGGAAATATCCAGTATTCATAAAAGACACATCTGGCCCTGCTGATGGAAGTGGAAACTGAAAAGCCACTTTGGAAACAATCAAGCACTAACCGCTGGGGCTGAACATACACTAACCTATAATCTGCAATGCCGCTGCTAAATTTAGACTAGAATCTTGGACACTCCGTACTAAGAGATATTTAAGAGGAAGCTCATGGTAATTCTTTAAAACAACAAAATTTTCATTATCCAACTATCCATAAACAGAAGAGATAAACCAATAGTGGACTACCCAGAAAAAAAAAAAGAGTACATGAAAATAAATGAGTTAAAATGCTTTTGAGATAAATCCTAAACAAAACCATACAGAAAATATTTCATTTATGAAACTTCAAAATCAGGTCAAAAGAATATACTATTTTAGGGATACTTAGAGTCACAAAGGTAGGGTAGCTCACACCTGCAACCCCATCACTTGGGAGGATGAAGGAGGAGGACTGCCAAAACTTCAGGGCTAACCTGAACTAGAGTGAGACCCTACCAAAATAAAGCAAAAGTGCCAAGATCAGGAGCTCCAGGCCACCCCTGAACTTCGTGAAACCTTGTCAAAACAGAAACACATATGAGAATATTCTAAATCTGAGCTGGAGAGATGGCTCAGTGATTAAGGTGGCCTTGCAGAAGACCCAGGTTCTGTTCCCAGCATCCCTACCTCCACTTCCAGAGGATCCAATGCCCTCTTCTGGCCTCCACAGGCTTGCACACGATGCATATATGTATATGTGTGTGCATGTGTGTGAATTTAGGCAAAACACACACAAAAAGTAAAATAAACCTTAAGAGTCCATACTGTTTATAAAAAGACCCACATTCAATTCCCAGTACCCGTAACGGGCAGCTCCTGTAACCACAACTCCAGAAAGTCACACCCATACTCAGAAAGTCATACCCACACAGACACAGAATAAAAGAGAAGCTAATGTCAAAACTATGTATTAGCTGAGTGTGGTTGCTCATGCTTTTAATCTTTTTTTTTTTTTCTTCCTCGAGACAGGGTTTCTCTTTAGCTTTAGAGCCTGTCCTGGAACTAGTTCTGATAGACCAGGCTGGCCTCGAACTCACAGAGATCCACCTGCCTCTGACTCCCGAGTGCTGGGATTAAAGGTGTGCGCCGCCACCCGGCAGATCATGCTTTTAATCTTGAGAGATGGACCTCTATGTATTCCAGGCCAGCTATGGCTACACGGTGAGGCCATTATATGACATTCCTGAAAAAAGGAAAAACAACGGAAATGATGAAAAACAAAGAAAAAGATCAACGAGTGGGGGCTGGTGAGGAGAGGTAAGAACAGACAAACACTGGGGATTCTTAGGACAGTGAAAAGTTTGTGTAGCAGTATATGAAGGATCATGTCATCTTACATATCCCAAACCCACAGAATGTGGATTACCAAGAGTGAACTTTAAACTATGAACTTTGGGTGCCAATCTGGGCTGTAACAGAAACTAGTGCTGATAAGAAGTCTGAATGTAGCCGGTGGTGGCGCACGCCTTTAATCCCAGCACTCGGGAGGCAAAGGCAGGTGGATCTCTGTGAGTTCGAGGCCAGCCTGCTCTACAAGAGCTAGTTCCAGGACAGGAATTAAAATGAAGAAACCCTGTCTCGAAAAATCCAAAAAAAAAAAAAAAGTCTGAATGTGAGAAGAGAGTATATGGTATAATATTCCCGTTTTCCTTTCAACGGATGGTGAGCGTAAACCTGTTCTAAAAATTTGATGTTTTAAACTCCTAAGTATACAGAAATAGTTTAAGAGGTCAAAACCTCCAACTGCTGAGAAATTCCTCGTTAGCTTGTCTCGGAACTTGGTCATTTCTAGAAATGTATCAATCATAAAAATGCACGCATTACTTTAGCACGGACACCTGTTGGGAGGTGTCAAGGAAAAGGAAGGAAGGGAGGAAGGGAGGGAGGAGAGACAGCAACAGGAGCACCAGCAGCAATACAGTGGACAGACCACACAGAGGGTCGAGCCTCTGGGCACCACAATGAGCTTCCCAAAAGCTTTTTTATCATAGTCTACAAATCTATGAAGGCCCTCTGGGATGGACGCATTCACAGGCAACGCTACACTCCCCATCTTTGCTCAGTTAAAAAGCGCAGATTAACCAAAGGGGGGACTTCCAAAGCTCTGACAGTCGGGGTGGGGGATGAGGAGATCAAATCCGTCTCCTGGGGAAAGGCACTTATCCCAAATAACGAAATGACGACCAAGCAGAGCTCAACAAATGTTTCCCGACAGGGCAACAGGCCAATACCCCCTTACAGCGCACACTCCCCGCTCACGCTGGGTGGAGCCGCCTCCCAGCGACCCCCTCGGCCCGCCGGAAATGGCAGCGAGCCTTCCAAGCCAGATCCCGGGGGACGCGCCCACTGACAAGCCGCGGGCCACGCCACCACGGGAGCGCGTGACCGCGCCCACGCGGCCCTCCCGTGCGCCGCGCCTTTGGGTCCATTTCCACTCAGCTCTGGCTCATCCTCCGGCCTCGAGGGCCGCGCCCACCAGTCCCAGTCAGGGGCAGCCCGGCCCGCTAGGCCCCGGCCCCAGGCCCGAAGCCTCTGCCTCCCTCTCCTCACCGTTTCGACCCCTGAGCTGTCTTCCCGGGTGCCCTGGGTCTCCTCGCCGACTGCGGCTTCCAGCACAGCGCCAGGGCCCCCCAGCGGCTCCAGGGGTGCAGGCTGCAATGGCCTCTCGGGGTCCGGAGGTGTCTGCTCCATAGCCGCAGTTCGGCACCGCGAATACAGTGCGCCTGCGCCCTGCCTAGCCCGCGGCCGCCCCGCCCCCTGCCCACAGAAGCTCCTCCCCGGCAGCTGAGAATGCCGAAGGCTGAACAGAGGGAAGTAAGGGAAAGCTAAGGGGAATCCGCAGAGACACTGGTCACCTACGAAACTGGAAATCTGGAAGATCGGGTGGAGAACAAAAGAAGCGAAGGTCAAGTGAACTCAAAAAAAAAAAAAAAAAAAAGAGCAGAAATCATAGCAGAGCTGTGGTGGCGTACACCTTCAATCCCAGCACTCAGGAGACAGGCAGGTGGATCTCTGAGTTTGTCACTAGCCTGGTCTACCGAGTGAGTTCCGGGACACCCAGGGCTACACAGAGAAACCCTGTCTCGGGGGAGGGGGGGAGTGGGGGAGAGGAGAAATTATTAAGATTGGGGGGACCTTCAAGTAAATTCAAAAGAAAAGAAAGGTCTTCTGACCATCACCCTTGCCGGGCATCCACAGTTCTGTTTTCCCAAGCACAGACTAGAGCAGTGTCAATGATTAACTTTCAGAGGGTTGAGTAACACACTCAGCAAAGATAACGCTGGAGGGTTTGAGGGAGGCGAAGACGGACGGGCTGCGGCAGGGCGAGTGTTTAAACCTCAGACACTGAGGCACTGGGGACCTCATCATTTTCTACACAAGTCTCCCGTAATTTTCTGAACCTGCGCCTCTGTAAGATTCACTGTGGTTGCCTGAAAAAGCTCACTGGCTGTAGCCAAAATAGAGGATCTTGAGGTCCGTGTTTCTGCACAAAAATCTCCTCTGTTTTTCAAGGACCCAAACGGATCTTTCTGAAAACAGCCTTTTCATGTTAGGAAATGCAACTTCTTTCTCCTGGAATGCAATTTCCTCTCTCTCTCTCTCTCTCTCTCTCTCTCTCTCTCTCTCTCTCTCTCAGTTTCATTCATACTCTAAGCCTTTTCCATGCTGTTTTACAATAATTTGTGTTCCCATCCATCTCCATTACTAGACTTCAGACTCCTTTAAAGCAGGGACCCACCCTGTCTCAAATAAACCAAAATAATAATAATATAAAGCAGGGACCCACCCCCTCCGTATCCTCCCCCCCCCCACTCCTCTCTCACAAAGCCCAGAATACTTAGGTTTGGAGGAATTTTCTTGCTTACCAGGAATTAGTTACGCCAGGCAAACTCTGAGAAAGCATGCTTTTAAATCAGAAGAGGCTCACTAATCACAGGAGGGATAGATTTGTTCTCCATAGAAAACTGGATCCTTCCTAAAGCCAACAGGATGCTTGCTGTGCACGGGTCTCTCTGTGCAGTGAGTGGGAATACGGAAAAGTCACCTGGCTTGGTGAGGCAGTCTGTGAAGGAGGTCATAGTACTGTCCACTGTTTTCACTTCTTTTTTTTTTTTTAATTGGTTTTTCGAGACAGGGTTTCTCTGTGGTTTTGGAGCCTGTCCTGGAACTAGCTCTTGTAGATCAGGCTGGCCTCGAACTCACAGAGATCCGCCTGCCTCTGCCTCCCAAGTGCTGGGATAAAGTGCGCCACCACCGCCCGGCTTTGTTTTCACTTCTTTTAATGTGTGTGTGTGTGTGTGTGTGTGTGTGTGAGAGAGAGAGAGAGAGAGAGAGAGAGAGAGAGAGAGAGAGAGAGAGAGAGAGAGAACCAGCCTCGTAGTAGTGGCACACTCCTTTAGTCCCAGCACTCAGAGGCAGGCGATTCTCTGAGTTTAAGGTCAACCTGGTGTAGACAGTGAGTTTCAGGAAAAGCCAGAGCTATAAAGAGAAACCCTGTTTGGGTAAAAAAAAAATAGATAATAAAGAAATAAAACTGAAACTGGGCAGATTTGAATCCCTCATTCCTCCATACCCTTTGTGTGTGAAAAACTTACAGGGTTGGGGATGTAGCATTTGACATTAGTAGCAATTTCCTTGTGTTGTCTACTTCACATTCCCGTCAAAAATGTTTCCGAAGTGTCTTCGCGTAGCGCTTTGCTTTGTCCTGTAACATAGAAGCTTCCTGACTAGGACAGCACAGTGGTGCGGTGCCCGACTAACATCCACAAAGCCCTGTAGATACCCAGCATGTACAACACTCTGGTTTCAGTCGCCAGAATGAGAACAAGGAAGTGGGGAGTAGGGTATGGGGGGGTATCAGTCAAAAGGGTTTTGGTTTGGTCTGGTTGAGCTTTTATTCAGTGGAGTTTGTTTTGAATCAGGGTCTCACTATGTAGTTCTGGTTGGCTTCCAGCTCACAGAGACATGCCTGGGCAAAAGGGTTCTTGAAGAATCTATTAGAGCCAAAGGAGCTTCCTATGGCAGCACGTGCTCATAACCCCAGGAACTGCAAACCAGAGACAAAGGAACAGCAGGCTTGAAGCCATGGTGGACTACGTGCAGAGTTCTAGGTCAGTTTGGGCTACACAATAAAACTCTGAATCCAAATAAGTAAAGATCTAAATTTAGAGAATTTGGCTTTGGGCTGGAGAAGTGGCTCTGTGATTGAGACACTTGCTGCTTTTGCAGAGGACCTGTGACAGGCTCCCAGCTCTCACCACAGCCCATGTCGTGATGAAAGTACCATTCCGGGTGAGGTAAAAATGAAACTCTGTCAACACGATTTGGGTAACCAGTGCTGGGCCAAGACTTCTTGGAGTCTGACCCAGACCATTTTACGATAGCCAAATTTAAGAACAATTTGAAAAGATGTTTTCTGATAACAATTAACTCAGTCCCGATTGCACAACAATTTTAAGACATGTTTACAATGGGGCTGGAGAGATGGCTCAGAGGTTAAGAGCACTGGCTACTCTTCCAGAGGTCCTGAGTTCAGTTTCCAGCATGGTGGCTCACAACCATCTGTACTGAAATCTGGTGTCCTCCTCTGGCATGCGGGCATACATCAAGGCAAAATATTGTATACATAATAAAAATAAATCTTAAAAAAAAAAGGCATGTTTACAGTGAGATTCTTTACAAGTGCAACTGGCTTCTTTGACAAGAATCAGAGACTGTTGACTCAGAGATCATGCCCAAGATTTGGCTTCCAGGGAGATTGACTGAGGTAAACACAATGCTTGGGAGTGCCAGGACTCTACCAGCCCTGAGATAACACAGAAGTCTCTTACTCTTACGTTGTAAAGTGCAAATGACATCTCTTAAAAGGAGTTTATGGACCTGAAGTGATGCTTGAGGTGTTAGGAGGAAAGGGCCTGGGATAAGTAAAGCTTAAATTCTGGAAGATACAGGCAGAGCCTGGCTCATCAGACAGCAAAGGATCACCAGGTTATAAACCACATTCATTCCCAGCATTCCAGGGACAGCTTGTATGCTTAACTTTCATGGCTTCTCCAGGACTTTATCTGTGTGTATCTGTGTGCACAAGACCTTTTGCCCTCTATAACTTCTATGCTTGGAACCTATTCCAGGAGAAAACGAATTCAAGTACTGGTGGGCAGTTTTCTTCTATTTTTGTACAGTACTGGGAATTGAACCCAGGGCCTACATATATTTGAAGCAAGTGCTCTGCCACTATGCTATATCTCCTGGACTAAGCTGTCCTGGGTTGCAGTATAGTTCAGTGGTAAGTGTTTGTCTTGAATGATCAGTGCCTGGGCTTGATTTCCAGTCCTAGGGAAAACATCCTTCAAATGAGGAAAGTCACCCAATGGTGTCATTTGAAGTGGGTATGGTGGTCTGGAGGGAGGAAAGTTTGGTCTGTCTGTCTCTTTCTCGTTTGGTTATCTTGGTGCTTGCTGTTTTTTGTTTGTTTGTTTGTTTCTTGAGACAGAGAACTGTGTAGCAGAGGATGGCTTTAAACTCCTTCCTGATCCTCCTGCCTCTGCCTCGTAAGTGAGGAGATCACATGTATACCCCCATGTTGAGGGAGCTGCGGGCCTGTTCCCACAGCTCGGCTCCCAGCCGCCTGGCTATCTTATGCCCCGAAATAACAACACACAAATTGTATTCATTTAAACACTGCCTGGCCCATCAGCTCTAGCTTCTTACTGGCTAATTCTTACATCTTGATTACCTATTTCTATTAATGTGTGTAGCACCCCAGGGTGCACTTACCGGAAAGATTCTAGCCTACGTCCATTCTGGGTTGGAGCTTCATCGCATCTGCCCCAGAGAGGAGAGCTATTGAGTCTGAGCTCACTTCCTCTTCCTCCCAGCATTCTGTTCTGTTTACTCTGCCTACCTAATTTTCTGTCCTATCAGGGCCAAGGCAGTTTCTTTATTTAACCAATGACCTTCCTCCATCACCCCCATGGCTGGCTCAGTAGTGTAACTTCAATTCCCTTCCCTTTTAAACCTTAATTAAACTTTGAGAAAAACTAATGCATGTACTAGGGACAGAGGTGGAGCAGGACAGGATGTCATGAGGACATCACAGGCTTCATCCTGTGGGCTCTAATCTGCTGTGTCTTGCCTTCTAACCTTTGAGCCACTTTCTGTAGGATTTTTCCAGAAACAGAAGTATTTGGTCTTAGAAATCTTACATGCTGGTCGGTCAACAGCTTTTCGGTCTGGTTAGGGACTTCACAGAGTCCTCTCAGGTCAAAGGAAGCTACATACAAGGCCATCTAAATGCCAAGTTCAGAGGGAGGGATTCTAACCAGAATAAATAGACCACCTTTAGCTAAACAGAAGCATTTAAATTTCCAACTCTCATGAAGATAGCTAATTTTTTAACCAATGAAATTAAATAAAATTATAGAAAGCTATAAAATCTGTATAGGTCAGACTTTATAGCCCAAAGCTTGCCCACAGTCACAGAAAGGAGTTCCAACCAGGGATTTGTAATGTGCATGTCTGGCCTTTTGCAACTGGAGGTGCACAGATACCATCGCAGTAGCGTGAGTGGACATCATCACTCACTGTGCTCCTAAACAGTCAAGAGGGATGCACAGACTCAGAGCATGACTAGATCCTGCCTAACGCAGCGAAGGAAAACATGCACGTCCTGTGTGATTTCATACCAAGTTTACAACAAATAATATTCTGTGAGCCAACTGAG